TTATAATTATAAATAGTTAAATAAAAGTCGATATTTATGATATTTATAAAAACCCACATTTTGTTAAACAAAGAGATCAGAAAAGTTATAAATTATAATTTATAAATTGTCACAAAAGAGATCCAAAGAGTGACAAAATGCCTGTCATTTCATCGAAACCATACATCGCTGGAGACGTTGTCTTCAAATGCAAACCACTATTGGTTTGTATTGACTATGAATTTAAAGGAAAACATTGCGATAATTGCCTCAAACCTATGGATCAGTTAAAGAGATGTTCAAAATGTCTTCAAATGTATTATTGCGACAGAAATTGTCAATCAATTGACTGGTCTTTCCATAAGAATGAATGCAAAGTCTTCAGAGGGAAAACATTCAATGAATTTAACTCTTTATTTCTGCCATTACTTCGAGTCTATCTTCGGATTAAAAATGACACAACATTTGCCACTAAAAGACATATTTTGTTTGACGGATCAGATGTTTGTCTCAATAACATCAAAGTGACTGTTGAACACATTGAACATAATATGACGATAATGTTTGACAAAATTTGCAAACACTTTAAGAGTTTAGGCATTGATTGTGATGTTAAAGACCTGTTTCGATGGTATGGCTTCATGTGTCAGAACAACTATAGCCTAAGACATAACGGCGATAATGAAAATGATTTTGACATTTGTATTGGTTCTGCAATATATGTGGAACCGATGCCAATCAGCCAATCCTGTCTCCCAAACGCCGCTTATTTGCAAAAAGGTATTAATTATGCTTTTATTACAATCCATGAATTAATAGTAAATGTGATCAACAGATGGATTGATGGAAATCCGTGCCATGAAATCGATAGCCATCGGCGAAGAGATAACCATTTCATCGATTCCATTGCATATGAATGGTGTCGAAAGACAACGGATCCTGAATTGCGCTTTAATTGTCTGTCATTGCGATAAATGTAGACTACATTTGGATAAAGACATGGATTATCAAGAAGTTTGGGAACTCATTCGCAAACATGAGATACAGTGGAAGACTTATAAGGCTTTGAATTTTGTTCACATGAACTTCAACTACGAAATGGACTCTAATTTTATGGCATATTTGGAGGCAATTTATGGTGAGTTTCATCCGTCGGTCACATTCTTCCTCTTGTGTTCGTTCATATGTTTCGCAAACAATTCATCCAATCATTCATTGATAAAACTTTGGTTCAAACGTATTGAACGGCACGTATTGGTCACCCATGGATCAGACCATCCCTGGTATGCAATCCTTCGCAAACAATTTGATAAATCATTGAATTTTTAATTGTTTTTAAGTATTTGTAATTTTAAGTTCGACTTGAGTCTTAACAAATGCTAAAAACAATTTCCTTTCAAACAATATTTGTATTACAAAGCGATCGTTAAATAAAACTTCAATTTGTTGTCAATTAATTATAAAAATGTCAAAAATTTGCGTCAATTATTATAATGATTGAAATATTTAAACAATTATTATACAAACATTATATTTGTTTATAATTGAATTGTATAACAAAAATGAGATATTTCTCTATAATTAGTTTTAATGATATGCTTAACAATATTATAATACCATATCTCAGTTTGATATCAGGATTTCTGATTCAGGAAGCAATTATTCATACAAGTTATAATTATATGATTTAATCGACTATTCTGTACAGTATATGTCATGAGACGGCAGAAAAGGGGAAAAATTATTTTTAACATATGAATATTGTATGAATAACATAGGGCTATTTTTTATTTTTGAAGCATTTTTTGAAGCATTTGCCTTCTCATGGTATATGTTATAAAATATTAATTTTTTAAATTTGTAAATTAATTTTTTAAATAAACATTATTTGTAGTGAAAAATCACTTTTTCTTAGACAAAGAGATCGTAAAAAGTTGTCATAAATTGTTACAAAACAGACTCAAAGAGAGACAAAATGACAGTCATATCATCGAAACCATATATCGCTGGAGACGTGATCTTCAAATTCAAACCATTGATCTCTTGTGTTAAACCCGAATACAAAGGAAAACATTGCGATAATTGTCTTAATCCTATGGATCAGTTGAAAAGATGTGCAAAATGTCTTCAAATGTATTATTGCGGCAAAAATTGTCAGACAATCGACTGGTCTTTCCATAAGAATGAATGCAAAGCCTTCAGAGGGAAGACAATCAATGATTTCGACTCTTTATTTTTGCTAACACTTCGACTCTATCTTCGGATCAAAAATGACAAAACATTTGCGACCGAAAGACACACTTTTATTGACGGATCAGATGTTTGTCTCAATGATATCAAAGTCAATGTGAAGAGTAGTTCATTTGCTAAAAGTTTGGTTTACTTATCAGGATCAAAAATGACAAAACATTTGCGACCGAAAGACACACTTTTATTGACGGATCAGATGTTTGTCTCAATGATATCAAAGTCAATGTGAAGAGTAGTTCATTTGCTAAAAGTTTGGTTTACTTATCTATTGGTAAACAATTTAAAAGTTTAGGCATTGATTTTGAGGCCAAAACTCTTCATCGATGTTATGACTTAATGTCTGAAAACAACTACAGTCTCGTTAATACCAGCAATAATCCAATGGATTTCGACTCTCTTATTGGTTCTTCAATATGTCTTGAGTTGTGGCCAATAAGTCATTCCTGTCTCCCAAACACGGCGTTTGTCCGCAAAGGTATCAATGAATTACATCTCTATTTATAAATATTTAATTAGTGATAAATAATATAAACAGATGAGTGGATTGAAATCCGTGCCATGAAGTCCATAGCCATCGGCGATGAGATAACAATGGCTTTGATTGCATTGTATATGAATGGCGTTGAAAGACGTGAACAATTGAAAATGTTTGGATCGATTTGTATTTGTGATAAATGTAGACTACATTTGGATAAAGATATCGATTATCAACACTTCGATCGACTTCTGGATAAAGAGACCATACATTGGAACTCTTTTAAATCCGGATCTCTTCGTCACCTGAACTTCACGTACGAAATGGACTCCAATTTCGAGTTATATTTGGAGACAATTTACGGAGGCTTTCATCCAATTGTCTCTGAATTCCTGTTGAAGTCATTTATATGTTTCGCAAATTCAATGAAAACAAGTCCTTCATTACTGAATGTGTGGTTCAATCGTATTGAACGGCACGTATTGGTCACCCATGGATCAGACCATCCCTGGTATGCAATGCTTTGCGCTACTTGTATTATACATTCTACAGGTACTGTAATAACCTACAATATTGGTAAATAAAAAAAATTATTTACCATAATAACATATCATAACTTCTAAATAATTTGTATTCAAAATTTGAATTTCAAATGCAATTTTTATTAAATAAAATTACTTTTAATTGTATACATGTATATATTTTAAATATATTAAAAGTTTGCATCAATTGTGTAGATATAAATATATATACTGTAGAAGTAGAAATTGTTCACATCCTATGTGTCTATTATATAATAACATTGAAATCATTGAAATTTACATCGATTTCAATGTTAATTGGTATTTAATACTGGATTACAACATGTTATGCATTGTAAGCACTATTTATGGACTACAGCTGTCAGCTGTACTGATGCTGTGATTCATAGCCTAAACATTAAACCCTAACGTATGAATGCATTCACAGTCAATATAACTGTAAACATGTGTTACGAAAGGGTTGGTAACCAATAGTCAATTCAACCACACTTTCAGACCAATTGATAGTTGAGACCAAACTCTGCTGAAGACATGTCCGCACAGATCGCTGTCAACACATCCAAAGGCTTGAGTGCCGGCGATGTTATCATTCAAACCAAACCAATGGTTCACATCATATGCAATGAATTCAAAGGTCTGTTTTGCGACAATTGTCTCAAACGTGAGGATCAACTGAAACGATGTCAGAAATGTCATCAAATGTATTACTGCGGCAAAGAGTGTCAGACCAATGACTGGAAGTACCACAAAAATGAGTGCAAAGCCTTCAGACACAACGACTTCCATAGGGATCTGTTCTCATCCGAAGAGATCCTTTTGCTTCGTCTCTATGTTAGCCTCAAGTCTGACGAGTCGTTCGCTACCAAAAGATATTCATTGATGGATGGATCAGATGTTTGTCTCAAAGAAATCATCGTTCAAAAGGATGTATTAAATAACATGTATTCCGATTGCGAGCGAATGCTTGAGTTTAACAGAGTTTGCATGTATTTCAATGCATTTGGGATCAAATTGGGTGACACTCAACAACGACAAGAGCTGTTGAATTGGTTCGCATTCTTGTCCAGCAGTCCATCACATGTGGGACTCAAATGGTATTCAAGAGATATGAAAGACTATCAGTACTTCTCTGATAAGGTTTGTCGAGCGGTCTCTCTGGAGATGTCATCTCTTAACCACTCATGTCTTCCCAATTCAGCGATCGTTACAAATGGTAAGACATGTATATTATTGTCATAATAGTTGTCATATTCTCACAACTCTTTGGCAGGACTTTCGGTTCAATTGCGAGCCCTTAAGGAGATCCCAATCGGCGAAGAAATCACTGTTAGTTTCATACGTTTGGATCAATCAAAGAGTGACAGAAGAGAGGCTCTGAAGAATGATTTCTATGTGTTTGACTGCAAATGCTTGAAATGTGAGCTCAATCTGGACTCAGGAGTCGATTACAAGGCTTTCGATGAGTTGATCGCCGAAGAGATTTTCAGCTTCATTGACAAGAGAAGAATTGATCCAAACTCGTGGTCAGAATACGACTCTCTCAGTTCAAAACTGATTCCCTATTATGAGGCAATTTATGGCGATTATCACCCCTTCTTAACGGCAACTCTTATGCAACAATCGATGACTTCTCGTATGTCAGCTATGATTGCGTCGGAACCGGCCTTCAAGTGGAAGCCAATGCTTTTGGATTACTATAAGACAGTGGATCAGCACTTGAGGATCACTCATGGCGTCGATCACCCGTTGTTTGACATTTTTTATAAAGTTTTTGTCAAAATATAGACTATTATTACTTAATCTATCATTTTATTACTCAATGATTACTAACTAAAACTAAAACAACGAAAACTAACTGTAACTACAAAATAACGTATTGTTTAATTTGCGTATTATTTGTTTATTATTATTTTGATGCAAATCTCGTTTTAAACTATATAATTGTTTTTAAAATCATTTCCATGATTGTTTTGAAAATTACAAATAATTGTATCATTTATTGGATTTATTATAAAAATGGAAAATTTTGTTATTAATTTCCAAATATTATTATTTTTATCATTAATATTGTGTGAGTTGTTGTCATAAAGTTATAGATTTTTGTTCGTAAAAGTTATATAAAATAATAATCAATAAAAATTAATAATAATTTTCAGCACAAATGAGTGGATTGTATGTAAAAGTCGGCGATTATCCGGAGTATAAGGATTACGGGATTAACGACGAGAACTGTGGCCTCAGATTTATTCCCGAAAAGTTTAACATAACATACGACACAACGAAATGCTTTCATAACAAGTATGAGATGAGACAAGTGAGTGATAGGTATGGCCCGCACTATCCCAACAAACAGGATCTGTTGACCAGTCGTGTTGCTATGGGTAGGGACGCCTTATACAGCGAAGCACCATGGACAGTTTACTTGGATGTGCATGTATATTATTTTTTCCCGGACACAGCGTGTAGTGGAGTACTGATCACCGAGTTATGGGTCCTGACGGCCGCCCATTGTTTTGATAAGTAATGATTCGTTAGTTTTAAGTTAATAAACATTAATTGCTATTATAATTAGTGGTTTAGACCGAAGAGTGCTCATAAGGGCCGGCAATACGCAAACCACTGGTATAGACGAAGCGACTAAGAATCGGGTGATTCTATACGATGGGTACAATAAATCC